CTGCAGTTCAGCTGGAGTAGTAAGTACTGTTGTTTTTTCTTTGCGTAATGTTCGGTTGCTGCACACTGTAATGAGCAAATTGTTTTCCCCTCTTTGCTTTTGTTTTCGCCCACACGCGGTGCCGGCCTCATTGCTGTGCGTCCCACGGACTGCACGAAGGGAGGATTGGAGGAACAGGCCGGATGCCGCAATGAAGTGTGAGGGATGTTGTGTGGGCTGCTGGAATAATGCGATCCCTTTATTATTACATTTTTCGTTTCTGCAGGTAATGTGTGCAAGTACCCAATCGTCTTTGGCTGCATGGCACATGAAATTCCTGCCGAATCAATTTTCTATTTTTTTCTTTTTTTTTCCTGTGAGCCCTGCAGAAGTCTCATCCTTTTTTCGTTTCATTTTTTTCCTGTTTTTTTGGTAATTCCCTGCGGATATGTTTTTGTCCCTGCCGTGTTGACTGTTACTTTGTGTCTTCTTGTCCCGTTTCCCGCCGCTGTCGGCTGTGCTTATGGCATGTCCCCATTTCTTCTGCTTTCTTTCCTGCTAGAGGCGTCGATGGTCCGCGACGACGATTGTTTGTGCTCCCCTCTGCGATGGCACGATGGTGACTGAGCGCGGCCTGCTGAGCGCACTCGGAGGGGAGCGGACGGTGCGCGCGGTGCTCCGTTTGTGAGTGTGGGACGCCACCCACCGCCCCGGCTGTGGCCCAGCCGTCGAACTCCTCTTGTGGCTGTGTGCTGGCATGCCCTTCACTTCTGTATTTTGTTGCTGTGGGTGCGGATGGCAAGGCACAGGCACAAATGCACTGTTAGGGCGCTGCGGCGGCGCCGCTCCCCTCAGCGATGCCGGTGCTGTGTGCGGCTGCTGCCTCCCTCCGCGGCGATGGAGGGATGGGGGCCACGGAGGGACTGCACGGCGGTTCTCCCTCCCTCTCCCTGTGTGTGTGTGTGTGTGTGTGTGTGTGTGTGTGTGTGTGTGTGTGCGCGGCGGATGAGTTCTCCATCTATTCTTCACCAGGACGGAGGAAAGGAAGGGATCACACAACAATAGAAGGGAGGAATGAAGGTAACGTGGAGTGGGAAATGATGGACCGAATATGTGTACACAGTCTGGAAGGGGAGTAAACGTGGTCGAGAGGGATGGTAAGGAAATACAAACAAATGATGCATAGGAGGATAGGGAGGAGGAAAGAGGGATAATTGTGCATACCGCATATATAATATATGCATTGCATGTATTTATGTGTGCATTTATACACATGTGTGTCTTGGCTCTCCTGTCTTCATTATTTGTTCCACACGGCATTAGAGAAGAAGCGTTGGAGAGGGTTTGAAGGAGTCTCTCCTTCCTCTTCCCTTTTTATTCCTCTCAGGGCGTGAGGTTGAGGCGGCGCGAGTGCGCAACACGGCTTTCAACGCTCTGCTCACCGAACGGGGGCCGCACCCCCTTCCGTCTTGCGCACCAAATTTCGCAGACAACGTGCACCGTTGGCAGATAATGTGAAAAAGAAGGAATGGGGTGTTTCCCTGTTGTAACTGTTTGTTCACTTTTGTTTCCCGCTTGTTTTCCCGACTGCTGTTGCTTGCGTGGCAGCCACGAATAAAGAGAGAACTTAAGTTAATTTTCCCTGTCCTTGTTTCTTTGTGGCTCAATGGCGGGGCATTTTGACTGCGGATGGGAGGATGCAAGTTATGGTTTTGCTGCGGATGTGTGTGTGTGTGTGTGTGTGTGTGCTCTGGATGCCCAAACTAAATTGCCCCGCAAATGCGGTGGCAGAGTGATGTGATGGCGTGGAGGCGCCAATGCCAGTTGAATCAAACCGTGCCTGTGGCACACACGCAAACAGGAAAGCGAAAGGAAGAAATTTTCTTCTGGGCTGCTGGCCGGATCCTCAAATTTCCTAAAGAAATAAAATACGACGGAAAGGAAGAATGAGTCAATGGAGAGGCAGTGGGTTCGCCAAATCCTCGCTGTTTGCTCCGCATATTTATATATTTGTGCATTATGGTGGCCCCACTCACGTGACATGTTGAACGCTTCATCCGGATAGGATGCATATATAAATATATAAATATATTTCTTATTTACGAAGGGGCAGACTTCGGGGTCCTCCAGCCACAAGACACTGTCGCAAGGGTGGGGACTTAAAAAAGAAGGCTACTGGGATGGTAAAAACAAAAAGAATTAAACCATTCGTCTTGACGTTATCGGTTCCTTTGGTTGCATCAATCACCGTCTTCCAAAAGTATTCATGCGATAGGAAAAGGATCGTACAGAAATATATCTTTATGTTTTTATTAGGAGCTTGCGAGGAGGATGCTCACGGGAGAGCCTGGCCGCCTAAATGAATATGTCCTGGGAAAACGGAGATATTTCTGTACGACCCTTTTCCTATCGCATGAATACTTTTGGAAGACGGTGATTGAAGGGAGCAGGGAGACGATAATGGCAGGAAGGATTTTTTATTAACTTTTTATTTCTTATTTTCCAACCCGTTCCCTTTTTTTGGTTCACACCCTTGCGGCGGGTTCTTGTGGCTGGAGGAGCCCAAAGTCTGCCACTTCGTAAGTTATGAATACACACACATAGATATATATATATGTCTAATCCGAATAGAGTGATTGGGTCACGATGGTGACTAACAAAGTATGCATACATAAATGTACACTTACTTGTTGCTAGACCTTGAGGATACGGTGAATCCCCATTTTTATTTCATTCATTCATTTCTTATTCCTATCTTGTTTGGTTTCTGTTATTTATAAACTTAGGATGCGGCCAGCGGCCCCTGTAGATATTCTTTTCATGCTTTGGAGGCACTTGACGACACCTGTCGTGGAGAGCGTTTTCATTTCATACGAGGATGGTGCACGGGAGACAAGGAAGAAGGAGAGCGGAGCCTCGCCAAAAAGAGCGGCCGCTGGGACGTTGGCAAGAATTGGTGCTGTTTGCACGGCCAGCTGCTTGCTCTCGATAGGATGTCCCCTGAGGCGTTCATTGGCCCGAGAGTGAGGTGCACACACGGGCAGGCACCGCAACAACCGTGTCGTTGGTTCTCTGTTGCACGAATGAGACGACGCACGTCAGGCGTGGCAGGTGACACCCTCTGCGAACCTCCTCTCTACTCTGTTTCAAACCTCGGCATTTTCTGCATGTGGACAGCGCTCCCATTGGCCGTCTTCTGTGACACGAGAGCCGACTGTATTCCTCTCCATCGCATCAAAGTCGTGAGGGGGGCTTGAGGCTGCGTTGAGGAGCCGTGTGGCCTCTGCGAGCATTTCCACTGCCATTCGGAGGTGCTGAGTTTTGGATTGCCGAAACGCCACTTGAGTGCTTGCGTCTGAGGCTCGCATGACTGAGGGACAGGCGTGTTTGCGGAAGTGAAGGAGGACCACGCCATTGGGAGGAGGAAGAGTGAATGGGTGGGTGGGTGTGTCTGTGGCCCATATGTGGTGCCCGACTGGCGCTTCACGTTGTTTTGTGCTATTATCATTTGCATTCACAAAGAATGGCTTTGGACGTAGCACCCACTAGCTCTTCTGTCGTTGGCTGAGGTTTGTGGGCATGACTCTTCTTTCGTGCTGTGCATTTGCCGCGTAAGCTGTCGATGGTCTGTGTGAAATATGCGATGATTTGCGGCATTTTGTTGGATTGTGCTTTGATATCCACCGCGGAATGACGGTGGGACTGGAGGCGTTGATTTTTCTTTATTGTGACCACGTGCGGTGTCTATGGGAGGCCTCTCAGGGAAGCGCCAGCCGAAATTGTTGTGAAGCTCAGGCACGGTGCCACACTGCTTATTGACGTGGAATGAGTTGGGAGGTTTACATATAAGCTCCTGTGCATTTTTGTCGTGGTGCTCCTCATGCACAGCCCTTGAAGACGACTGGTTGAGAATCTTCAATGGGCTTCTCGTTGAGTCGAGGGGAGCATACCGCCTTCTGTGCTGATTGAGAGCCCGGGCGTCATGGATGATGCATGTGGCAGGCAGAACCTCGTGCATGGCGGAAGAAGGAGACGAGGGGCTGATTGTTTGATTGTTACTGACGAGTCCTGCCTCACTGCTTGGAGGGGGCTGTCGTTGACTGGGGCAACCTGTTTTGTGTGTCCAGACGCTGCTTGCACCGAGTAGCGGGGCGCCGTGTTGGTGTGTGCGGCTCCATCATGCGGGGCAGCAGCGTGACGTTTGCGGACTGCGTGTCTGTGGGTTGATGCATGTGGCGGGAGGCGTGTCTGAGGAGAATCCGCGAAAGAAGGAGTGACCTTCGTTTGGCGGTGCTGCTGTGCGACGTTTGAGGGAAGAAGAAAAACAATTGCTTTCTGACATGTTGGTGGGTGTGCCACGGCCACCGATGAGTTCTCAGGGAGAGGGAAAGGAGGGAGTGAGACGGAGACTGTGCGCATCCGCTGCGGCGTGTGGTGCCGCAGGATGCGATTGCCGTTGTGAAGGATGAGACGGCCGCAATGCGTGCAGCAGAGCGTCGTCTGCAACTTTGTGTCTGTCGAGCTTGCAGGTGCCGCGAGGAGGTGCAGGCGACCTCTCATCATTGGGCTGCTGAGGCTGTTTTTCCTCTCTGCTCAGCGGGAGGAGCAACTCTTCCTGCACGCGCTGTGCTGTTCTGCATCGATGCTCCCAACGGGGTATCACGCCGCTGCGTCGTTGCAGTGCAACTCTCGTTCTCCTCACTGCACACGTGGTCCCCTGCCATTTGTCTTGTTTGCAGGGCCATGGCCTGCGGTCCCCCATTGGGAGGCTGCTCATCTTTTTTCTTAGTTTTTTTATGCTGTTGAGAGGTGCTGGGGAGTAATGGCTGCGGGGACGGTGATGTTGTGCTTTGCTTTGAGTGGTGGCGGTGTGCACTGCTGTTTTGCTGCCTTTCTGCCGCTTTTTTCTGTTGCCTTCTCCAAGAAGGAAATTATTACCAAACACGAATCGCTACTGTGAACTTTGAAGGCACTGGAAGGACCAACAACAGCACACACACCGCCCACACACACATATTTATATGCTCTCACGTGTTGCTGCAGTGAAGGCACCCCGCACACACAACCGTCGCTGCGTGACCGGATCCAGCGGGAGGAGGAGGGAAGGAGGAGAGAGTGAGCGGCGGATGCCCAACATGTCCCGGCATCTCTTCTACTCTGCGGTGCTGCTCCTCCTCGTCGTGATGATGTGCTGCGGCAGTGGTGGTGCTGCAGCCGCTGTGGAGAACAGCGATTCAGTGGCGGATCCAAATTTTGAATGGAGGGGCGTTACTGATGACAAGGAAACTGTGGACTCGTGGGGCGTTTGCAGCATCCTGAAGGTGGGGAATGACGTGTTTGCCGTTGCCGAGGCGCAGTGCAAGGAAAGAGGTGAAGCATCCAATATCTTTACTGGCATTGCATCCCAACTTCTCACGGAAAAAAATGATAACACACCGGTGGAAGTAATGAATGAGGCCAAAAAGTATACACAAGTACTGAAGGAAGGCACTTCCCCAAACAATAAAAAAGTGGATGTGAGCCGACCAACAACAGTTGTGAAGGAAAGTGATATTTACATGCTTGTTGGAAAATACAGCCAGACAGCTGTTGTTGTTCCTCCGAAGAATGATGCCGAGATCTGGGGATTCTTGCTGGTGAAAGGAGAAGTCAGTGATAAAAATAACAAAAGAATCAAGTGGAGCGATGCCAACGCTGTCCCGCAAGCATCTGTTGGCGAACAACTCATATCCTGGACAGAGTTAATTGGCAGCGGTGGATCGGGTATTGAGACGGAGGACGGCACGCTTGTGTTCCCAGTGCAAGGCACGAAGAAGGAGAACAAGGAGGATGGAAAAACCGTTTCGTTGCTCATATACACCTTGAAGGACGCTAATAGTTGGAAGCTGTCAAACGGGATGTCTGCCGATGGCTGTAGTGATCCCTCCGTCGTGGAGTGGAAGGACAAAAAACTCATCATGATGACTGCGTGTGATGATGGCCGCCGCAGGGTGTACGAGTCCGCTGACAAGGGGGATTCGTGGACGGAGGCACTCGGGACACTCTCGCGTGTGTGGAGCAACAAAAAGGGCGAAGAAGTGAAGGCCGTTAGAAGCGGGTTCACCACGGCGACGATTGGCGATGTTGATAATAACAGGGATGTGATGCTCGTTACTCTGCCGGTGTATTCCGAGAAGGACGATAAAAAAGAAGACAATGGAAAGAGTGAACTCCATCTTTGGCTCACGGACAATACGCACATTGTTGATATTGGGCCGGTATCCGATGATGACGCTGCCGCCAGCTCCCTGTTGTACAAAAGTGGTAAAGATAGTGATAATGATAATGAGAAGGAGGAGTTGATTGCACTGTACGAGAAGAAGAAGGGCGATGAGGAAGCATCACACAGTCTTTGGTCTGTGCGTCTGACTGCGCAGCTGCAGCGGGTGAAGGATGTGCTGGCGACGTGGAAGAAAGTGGACGACCTTGTCTCCGAGCTGTGCCCCTCAAAAAGTGCTGAGGAGGATGGCTCACCTGACGCTGCCTGCAGCCCTACTGTTAAGCTCACGGATGGGCTGGTTGGCTTTTTGTCCGGCAACTTCTCTAATGGCACATGGAGGGACGAGTACCTCGGGGTGAACGCCACAGTGAAGGACAATGATGGGGGTAATAAGGCAACATTGCATGAGGGCAGTGTGAAGTTCACGGGAGCGTGGGCGGAGTGGCCTGTTGGCAGTCAGGGGGAGAACCAGCTGTACCACTTTGCGAACTACAACTTCACTCTTGTGGCGACGGTGTCCGTCCACGGTGAGCCGAAGGAGGGTTCTCCCATTCCTTTGATGGGTGTGCGTCTGAGTCGTGAAGGAAACGAAAAAACTTTTGAGCTTTCGTACAACGACAAAGAAAAGAAGTGGCAGGTGCTGTGCGGTGGCGGAACCCCCGAGGATCAAAGCCGCACTTTGGCGACGGATACAACACACCACGTCGTGATTTTGCTAAGAAATGGCACCCAGGGCTCCGCGTACGTCGATGGTAAGCGTGTGGGTGGGGATGTGTCGTGCGCATTGGGAAATAAGGATTCAAAAGAGATCTCCCACTTTTACATTGGAGGGGATGGAAACAGTGCACGGAGCGAAGAAGACGTGTCTGTGACCGTGAGGAACGTCCTGCTGTACAACCGCCCGTTGAGTACTGCGGAGATTACTGCGCTTAACCCGAATAAAGTCCCCATTCCACCTGTGGTGCCTGACAATGCCCAGGGAACCCTGTCGCAGTCATCTTCTGCCGGGCCACTGCTGGCGGAAAAAGAATCGTTGAATGAAAATCAGGGTGCGGGCGGTGGCAGCACGTCCCCATCAGCACCGTCCACTGTAACGACTTCGGGAGAAGAGTCCGTAAAGCAGTCGGCGTTGCGCGCTTCTCCCGGCGGAAGTAAACAAGTGGATGCCGCTTCTTCATCCGATGGTGATCCAACGGTGGGAGCGGAAGCTGGAGGTGCGATGCAGGGAGACACACCACCTCAAGCTTCTGTGGATACTCTCGACAAAGCAGATACAAATGCCCCTATCGCTACGGACGTGGCTCAAGTTGATCCCGCAGATACAACTGAGGTGGGTGCGAGCTCTGGTGCGAATGGGGAAACGGCGGAAGGGATGGATAGGCAGGAAGAGCTCCATGCACAGCACGGCGAAGTAAAGGCTGCGGCACTCAGCAGCAGCCTCGGAAATGTGTCGCAGGGGAATAACAGCGATGCCGGCATTGTGCGTGGGAGCGGACTGCTGCCATCGCTGCTCCTTCTGTTGGGACTGTGGGTGTTTGCGGCTCTGTGAGGAGTGACTGGCTGCCGCGTGGGACACTTGCGACCTCCCCTTCACCGACACACCTGCCAATGAATTTATTACCTCAAATAACTTTTATCTACCTTTATTGCTTTATGTGTGTTATTTTTACTGTTTTTAATTTTTATTGTTTCAATCTCTCACTCCCCCATCCCTCTTTTTGCTTTTGGGGGCAATCACTATGGACGTTTTTTTCTTTTCTACTCTTCCCTCTTTAATTGTTTCTGCTGCACTCTTCCTGCGAGGGGTGCCGTGTGTTTCCGCCCAACTGCTCCACTCGCACACCCACCGACACGCTCATGACGACGGCCCTGTGCGCCTCGCCTGCTGCACGCATGAGGAGGGGCCGCGACGAACGGCGCGCTGAGGGAGCCGCGACGTGTGGGCGTGCGACGAGGGCCTGTGGGGCGGAGCACACATTTCTTCCCTCTTGTTTTGTTTTTATTGCGGCCAGGGCGGGCAGACACCCGCAGCGCCACACACACAGCCACACCCTGCCGCCGTGTTTTTCTTTAAGGATTTGTTTTTCTTTGCGTGTTTATTTCATGCGGTGGCGCACCCTTCGGTGTCGGCCTCGTGAGCATTTCTCCCCCTCCGATGATTTCTTTTTCTTTTGCTGCGCTCACTCTCCCGATGGAGTGACGCGACTGCCGTCATGTCTGCGTGCTTCTCTCAGTCCCCACACACACGAGTGACTGTGCTCTGCGGGCCGCACTCACGCGCCGATGAGAGGGCTGAGGGGAGCAGCAACACGCAGATGACCCCATGAAATATAAACGATGTGCGGACACACGGATGGTCGGACGGTCGAAGCACACGCAACCATCTTTTTAATTTCCTTTTGTGGGCAAAATACATACAGACAGTTTGGTGTGGCCACACGGCAGCCAGGCGATTTTTTTCTTATTTTAAAATTTGTGTGGAACAGTAATGGACGATTTCTTTTCATTTATAATTATTTTGTGTGGTGGGGTTTACATAAGACGAAGGGGGACGTTTTTTTGTTTTCAATAAATATTGTGTGAATTGCCGCTGCTTGGGCTGCAGTGCAGTCATGAGTTTGAGCGGTCTTCTTGTTGTTGTTTCCGCCATGCGTCTCCGCTGTACATTTTTGTGCGTCCCTCCACATACTCTGCTCCCTCTTTTCTACGTCTTAGCTTTGTGTTGCTGCAGGCACACACAACCACAGGCACACAAGATGCACATTGCGGTGGATTTGAATGCACCTTTTGCAATGCATGCTGGCGGTTGCGTGTGGCGGCTGTTGTCTTCTTCCGTGGCTGTGAGGAGGAGGGGAGAGAGAGAGCGCACCCCGAGTCTATTTTCCTGTGGGTGTGATGCACCGCGTGCGACTGCGCTGAGTTGGGCTCCGTGTCCCATTGATGGCGGGATGGCAGGTAATTTTTGTGCCGCGTGATGGATGGATGAGGGTTCGCTTGCTCCGTGTGCGTTGTGTGGTGGCTGCGGGGTTTTGGCCATTTCCCTGGGGCTGCGGGAATGAGCTGGGGGAGATGGTGGTGGATGTCTTCTCCTCCTGCATGGTGGGTGGCTGCTGGCGTTGTGTGCCTTCCTTGCGTGGATGCCGTCTCGTGGTGTGTGGACTGTGCGGCTGGGCCTGCTGCCCTCTCCTCATGTTGTCTGCGCTCTCTCGCTGTATCCGCTGTGCCTCGTCCCTCTCCCTCTCGTTCCATTCTTTTCCTTCCGTCTCACCGATCAGCTGACTGACACCAGCGACTCCACTACAGGCGACGATGACTGCGATGGTGACGGTGCGGCGCCGTGTTGGTCCTTGCGCTCTTGTGCTGCTGCTGCTCGTCCGTGTGCGTGACGGCGACAGGAGACGATAATAATGATAACAGCCGTCCTCCCAGCCCTGAGCTAGGGAAACCGGATCCTACAAAAATATGCCTGGTGCATTGCAGCCATATGGTGGGGAGACCGGTGTGCCACAGACAGAGAGTGGGAGAGACAGCGAGGAGGGTTTGAGAAGTCCAGAACCTTCGTTGCCAAAGGAAGCAGGCACAGCCATCACTGGACAGACACGAGTTCCTCCAGGGTCACTGAGTTCGGCTAGCGATAATCCAGAGCCAGCAGGTTTGGCAACTCGGTCTCCACACACACACAAGGTGCGACCGGTATGTCAGATGCACAAAATAAAAAGGAGCAGTAAAATACACGAGGCGATGAGAATCATAAGTCACAGATATCAAATCAGAAGTTGAAGATGCCAAATACGACAAACACTACTACGAATATAACAGAGGCACCGAGGAATACGGCTATGAATACAGAGGTGCCAACCACGACGACCACCCGCGCACCGTCACGTCTTCGCGAAATCGACGGCGATCTCAGCAGCTCTGCGTGGGTGTGTGCCTCGCTGCTGCTTGCCGCATCCGCGATGGCGTACACCGCTGTGGACTGAAGATGTGTGTGCGGGCTGTGCGTTCCAGCACTCAATCACGGGACATGTGCATCTCCACTGTGGTCCGAAGTATAAAGTAAGAGTAATTATGGTGGTTGTTTTTTGCTTTGTTTGCCTGCGCTGCCCTGCTGTGTGCTCCGCGTTGTTCTCGCATTCGCCTCATTGAACGCATCACAGACACGCTCATATGTATGCGTACTGGTGCCTTGGGTGTTTTTATTCTGCTGTTCTATCTTTTTTAAAACCCGTGGTGTGCAGGGCGGTGTTCTAGTTCTGCAATCGTACGGGTTCCATCTGTTTCAATGCGTGTGCTGCTGCTGTTGTTGCTGTCCTTGTTACTGTGTGTTGACTGTGCTTGGTTTCTTAACATTTTTCCCCCTTTTGCTTCCGCTCTGCGTTGACGGGGAGTTAGTTTGTGCTGAAGGCTGCACGCAACTGACAGGAGTGATGATAATGACGACTGGCCGTGTGCTGCTGGTGTGTGCCCTCTGCGTGCTGTGGTGCGGTGCTGTTTTGGGGCACGCGATGGAGGATTACTGCGGTGAGGGTGGAGGGAACGGTTTGAGGCACACGAGTAATGGTGGAGATGACGGCGTGTCTCTAAAGGCGGACTGCGGGTTGTTATCCACTCGAATGGCTTTAATAAAGGCGGTTGAGGCTGCGGAAGGTGAACAAGAAATGAATGTTACAGCCCGACCTCAGGATAATTCGAAGGCATCATCACCTGACAGTAAAGTGGGCAATAATACGAAGTCCACTGGAGCACCTGATTCAAAAGGAGGTAGTGTCGCAGGTGAACCAGCAGAAGCAGCACCGACGCCTGGAGAATCAGATACAGAAGGACAGGTGGTGAAGCCAGAAGGTTTGGATGCAAATGGTGGAAAAAAAGCAGATGGTAAGAGGGATCGCAACGACGGTACGGCAACTGGACCCCAACAACAAAGGGCTGATCAACCGTCGTCTTCTTCTTCATCTGGCAGCTCTGGCACTGAGAGTGCCAAACAACCCCTTGTGAAGGAAAATTCCGAGAGGAATGAAACCCTCGATGACCCGCCGCAAGAAGAAGAAGAAAAAGATCGTGGCAGTGAATCTGACAGTCATGAAGAGGAGGCGGAAGAACTGGAGAAAAAAGAAGACAAAAAAAACGCAAGCAATCAGGCACCAACGGGGACACTTGGAGGTCTGACGAAACACACAGAAATACATACAGCAACAACAGAACCGAATGGACAGTCCAGCCCTCAGGCTTTGGGGGACGTGGAAAAGCCAGAAGAAGTCCAAGGCGAAAAGGACCCAAAAAACAATTCACAAACAAAGAGCGTTGCCTCCATCGCAGCCAACCAACAGAATGAAACATCTGCCGACCATGGAGAATCAGGGTCACCTTCACCCACGGCAAACGGTGATGCCGCCAATAATGATTCTGACAATAGCACTGAAGAGCGCATGCAGAGCAATCATTCAGCAGCTGATGGTGCAGGGACAGCAGAGGGAAAACAAAATGAAAATAAAGATGCCAATCCGAAAGGAACACCAGTCGAAGCCACAGCCATGAAAACTACAACGGCGACGACTGGCGACAGTGACGGCAGCACCGCGGTCTCCCACACCACCTCCCCTCTTTTCCTTCTTCTTCTTGTTGCGTGTGCGGCTGCGGCTGCGGTGGTGGCCGCGTGAGAGTGGGGGAGAGAGAGCCGTGCACCGCCCGCACACACACTCTTCCTTCACTCTCTCTGTGTGTGTGTCCCCTTGCATGGACTCTCGCCCTCACCTCACCCCACGAGGCACACGCATAATGTGCCCATTGTATATATGCATGCACACCCATGCAGGCCCGTTGGTGCTCTCTTTTGCACGACACGCACCGCTGCCGTCCTGCCTGGCTGCATGGGCGGAGCACCGTAACTGTTTTTGTTTTGTTTTTATTGCATTGAGTGGGCGACCTCTCTCTCTCTCCCTCTGTGTGTGTGTTTTGCTTTACGGGAGTAATGAGAGTGTGTGTGCGCTGGTCGTCCCACGCTTCGGCTTTTTTTTTCGTTCTGATTGTGTTGTGGTTGGGTGCGCCCATTTTAATTTCATTGATTGGTTTTATTCCTAAAGTGCGGATGGCTGAATTTTCCCTTTTGTATTCTCCTGTTCTTTGTTTCTTCCCACGCAATCGGTCCTTGTTGCTTCAGCGAGCCACGAAATATTTGCTTAACACCCACATCAATTGCCTACTTGCTCTACACCCCACATTAGTTTGAGACGCTGGTGCTGCTGCATGTGATGATGTTTATGGTGTGATTGCCAGCGGGTGCTTTGCTGCCACTTTGACGTACCCTCGATTTGTTGAATATGTGATGCGTGCCGACAGCACGAGTTGGATCCGCGTTGTTGTGAGGGACGCACACTTTTTGAGCAGTTGGTGCGCTGCAGCCATACACCGTCATTGGGAGGGATGGATGCCCATCCGCATCAACGTATCCACAAGGGACCTGGATGATACCGGGAAGTATTGGATCTCAGAGAGGTACCACGCAATGAATTCATCGAATGACAATTGCGAGTGTGAGGATGACGTTGTATACTCTGCGCACGGGATCATTCTCGAGAATGAATTTGTCCCTGCTGCTTTCAAACTACATGCGGATCGTCTGCTCGTGCAGCCACTGGAGGGTTCTTTGATTGTGCCTCCATTTGCCACGGGCATCGCTTGCATTCGGTTTACGGTGCGTGCTGGGCATTGTTCCACTGGTGTTGCCAATGCTGACATGGTGCTGTGCGTGGCAGAGCGCTGTCGGTGGTGGTGCACTCGACGACTGCCGTGATGGCTGCGAGGAGCCCCGCGACATCGACGACATTGGTGGCATGGAGCTGCAGGATGGCGATGGTGACGGGAGGACGCTGGAGTCGCACTGGTCGCAGCGCCACGCGAAGGATGAGTGGATGGCACCGATGGGGAGTAGCGTCTACTGCACGGAGCTGACGCTGGCCGCACCGGCTGACCTGGGCTGCATGAGGGTGAAGTGGGAGATGGCGGAGCCGATGCGCTGGTGAAGGAATTCGTGCTGTGCGCTGCTGCAGAGGAAGTGCTCCGCACCGAACATGAGTGAATATCCCCAGATGTTCTGAAAAGCGGGAGTTCCTGCCAGACGCTGCACGTTGGATCGGTATTCGAGTGGTTGGTGTGTAGACGAATTATCCATGAAGGGTCAGCAAAACGCCCGATGGACAGTTGCCCCATCATTGGTCCCGCACTGGATGTGAGGGATGCTGCCGCTGTTATTTGGAGGGGAGAATTTTTGTCTGCGATGCCTGGGGATGAGCCCTCTTCGTGGTGTCTGGACACACCTCCCACCAACACGACGGATGCGAGGGACCCGGAAGAGACAAACATCTCGGTGCTGTCATGCATGCGGCATTGCGGTGCCTCGGCATGCGGGTGCGTCTGAGAGTGACTGAAGGGGGTAACGCCCGCTGTGCCCCATGCACGGCCGAGGCGACGATTACGTGGGTTGCTCCACCCTACGACGAGGGAAAAGCTATTTTCCGTGACCACGCGCAGGTGTGCACGATATCCGCCACCAGCGGCAGTTTCCTTCCAGTGGTTTCGTGCGGTGGCGATGAGAGAGGGTGTGTGGAGTAGGACGGTTTCACTGGCATCTACTGAACAAGCTTTGCTACGGGCATCCGTCCCCGATCCAGAGAGCATTGGGACCGGCCGCGGCACACCACCGAAGTAGGTGGACACGGCTGCTCCCCAGAAGCATCCGTCGCCAGAGGAGAAGTGGATCCGGCCAGGACGCCCCGACAGACCGCAAGAAGCTTCTCTCGGCGGCAGGGACCGAAGCAGCGAGACGGACGGCGAGCAGGCCTCGCCTCCGACTCCCGGTGATGACACTGTTGCTGCTGCTTGTCCCTGTCCGCTGCTTCTTCTGCTTGCCTCTACTGCCGCCGTGGCAACACTCTATGGAATTGCTGTGTGGAGGACTTTGCGCTGCGAGGCGACTGCGCTTCCTCCTGCGTGGCCCGCACTCAGCATTGGTTGCCCAATAGAAAAACATCTATTGCAATGGGTGCCTTTCTCCATATGCATGTGCTGTGTCCACTCCGTTTGACTTTTATTTGGGATTGTTTGTATTTACGATGCACACTGCTCCTTTCGTGTTGGTCGCCGATGTTGGGCCACCGGATGGTATTATGGCTTTGCTTGTGTGTTTGTTAGATTTTCTGAGACGCACATACATACACAAAAAGCGGTGCGAGTGAAATGTGCGCACAAGACACACACGCATATCCAATCACATTGTCTGTGTGACTTGTGCTGGACATATTATGCGGAGCGGGTTGGTGCGGTCAAGGCCGACGGAAGCTGGCAGCCGCGTGAGCCCAGCAATGGCGTTTGTGGTTGTGTGCGGGATTATATGTTCCATCAGATGCTTGACGCCGTTCATGGACTGTCCAAAGTTTTTTACTGCGATGCACATGCTGCGTCTGTGCTAAACTGCTCACTGCGTCTTCATGATCTCATGAAGCACGGCGTGACGCTGCTCGAGGACCTCATGACGCCGCGGCAGCCGATTATCAGTAGCCCTGCGCCCTACTTTTTTGCCGTGGAGGATGCGTCTGTGAGCCGTGTGGTTGAGGATTGGATTGCAAAGGTCCCGCACAGGGATGCACACATCTTTTCGCTGGGGTGCACCCCGCATCGCAGTCCTCAGCAACTCGCGTGCTCGGATAGCGCCGAGGGCGATGCGCTTCAAGGTCATTATGTTAGACTTCGCCGCCCGTGAGGTGCTGGTTTTCCACCCCAGCATGCAGAATGGTTTCCCTCGGCTGCTGTCGCTACTGTCGCCTCCGAATTGATGGTCCGTTTTGGACTTTACGGCACCACGTCTTGTGGCGGCTTTTTACGCCATGAACAACGGTGTGCCCGTCATTCGCCACCAAAACAGTGGCAGCATCTGCAATGGGCTTGCCAGAACCTTTTTTGATGGCTTGCCAGGCAATACCACGACGAGCCGGATTTCACTTAGGGGCGCCGACAGCCGCGGCAACCCGGTGCGGATCATCGTTGATTGAAGCTGTGCCACGGTGACGCCGCTGATGCACCAACGCACATGTGAGTTTGTGCTTGATGACCTGATGCCGCTGGGGAAGAAATTGTATTAGCAGACCTGTAGGAATCTTCTGGGTGAGGACTCGAAGCGGCAGTAATTGATGGGGAATATGTGTACTGGTGCTCCTACCGTCATTGATTCCTTGCGCATTGCGTGGAGGAGCTTTCGGTGGCGCTGAAAAAACTCCACGCGTATCACCCGGGATTGGCGCATGGCGTTGAGCCGAAGGCCAAGCCTGCGGAGTTGGGCAGTGCGGTGCGGTCTCCGCCGGAGTTTCGGGAGAGGCAAACCAGACTGTCGCTGCACATCGACATTTGCGCGAGGCTTGTGGCACAGTACCGGGAGAAGCGACTGGCGGAGGTGTGCGAGGTGGAACAAAACATCCCCGTTGGGCGCAAACCCTTCAGGAAAAACCTGGATGGCGTGCGGCGCCTGACAAGGGATGCCGCGATGCCCCGGCCAGTGCGTCTGCGTCTTCTCCTGTTGCTTGTGACTGCGAGCAGCACCGACGAGTTGACGGAGGCCAAGAAGCAGCAGCTGATCCGAGACGGTAGACTGACACCGGAAGCCTATTTGTCTGCGAACCTTGAGCATGTGACGAGGAGGGCCGGGAGCGTGCAGCAATACAGCACGGCGTCGGCGCAGGGCGGACGGAGCACGAGTGCCTCTGCGAGCAACGCCGCGACGGACGAGGATCCGCTTCTGAAACAGGCCTGTATGATGATGGAGACGGGCAGGAATAGGACGCTGCGGGTTGGGCTTTCGTTGTCATCGGTGCAGCGCGATCATGTGATAGGGCCAAATGGCGAGAGTGGTGGCCATAACAGTGGAGCAGCAGGAAAAAACGCCGGGCCATTTCAAGGGTGTGGTGGCAAAGAGAAGAATCATCCTGATCTGGGTGGCGGTGGTGGGACGATTGCCCTCACAACTTCTCAGCGCATAGTGCTGCTTGTTTTGGGTGGTTTGGCCTGCAGCGAGAGGCGCTCGGTCCATGAGATATCCAAAAGGTATGGCCGTGGGGTGTTCATTGGGGAGCCTCGCTGCCGCGTCCTGAGGTGTGTTTGTGCAGGGAATTGGCATCCTACGGCACTGTGACTCACTGGCGAGACACGCACAGGAACGCATCGAGAGCCAAAGAGTGGGAAATACACAAACACACACGATTGCGGGTGTCTGTGGGAATTGTGTGCGCTTCTTCCTGCATTCAGTTCCTCTCCAAGAAGTGTTCCATACGATACGCGTGTGTGTGTTTCAACGGCTGCGCTGCTTGCCTTTTGCTTTTGTTTTCTTGTGTGTGCGGTTGCAAGTCGTTTCTCTGCCACTAAGAAGGCGGTTAAAAAAGGAAGGACATTTGTGGAGCATGCACCCACGGCTTCAGTGTTCATCCACTGATGCTGACTTTTTTCGCCGGGGCATTTGTGCACGCTTTTCTCTCCAATGTTTATTTTTTTTTTTTTGCAGAGGAGGCAACGGGTGGGCATTCGTGAGTGCTGCGGCGGGCTGTTGTTGCCCTTGCCGGGACGCGCTTAACGGCGGCAGCTCCATGACTTTTTGCACAAAAGGAATGGGACTTTC